TTTTTATGGATTTTTTTTGAAGCTTTATTCTGACCGATTCACCCGATTCTCGATCTAGATCGTCGATCCAGATCGATTTTAAGGTGTCCGATCTGGGTCACCGATCCGCTTTTTAAACCATTTGGTTTGAGTTATTGCATTCCATTAGCTCTAGTTACTCAATATTGTTGAAAGTATTATTTGGAGATGTACCTCTCAACGATAGGGGTGGCAATCAGATCGGGCCGGTCGACCCGAACTGGGTCCAGGTCTGCATCTATATTTTGGACCTGATAGGTTGGATCTGAGTACCGAGTCCCTATCGAGTCGGCAGGGTCGACCGACCTAACCTTGCCTGTCATAAAATATACAAAAGAAATAAAAATATGGTAAATAATACATAAAATAATTTTTTATGATTTTTATAATTTGTTGTGCTGATCCAGGTCAGGCCCTGGTCCAAATGACTTGGACCTGACCAAACCTAGGTCCAAGTAAGGGTTGACCTGGACCAAATTCCAACCCGTTTACACCCCTACAGAATGGTGTTGAAACTTGAAATGGGCTAGAACCACAGGCCACTCAGGCCAACCTCGAGGAGTATATTTTGGTCGCATAAAGAGATCTATTAGACCTGGCCTACACTAGGTTAAGCCAGGCTCAACTCTCATGGCTAATCAAATTTATGTTATGCAGTAGTAGGTAATGGCAATTTTTTTGGTCAGACAAAAAATTAGCATAAATAGACGAGAGAGCTTTAATTGTTTGGAAATAAATATCTAAGATAAATTTGGTCTTTTTTAAAGATAATTACATGCAATAAATTTACAAGAAACTATAAAATTAAAATACATTTTATGAAAGCATGCAGGTGTCGAAATTATAACTCCATAGAAAGTAGCATTTATCTGGAAAAAACTGATTTTTTAGATGAGCTTATGAACTATTTAAAATATGATTCTAATAAGTAATCTATATTTTAGAGAGAACCTATTTAGGTTAGGGGATTCTAGGATTAAAAATTTACATTTGGACACACGCATAACCCGCGGCCCCCCCCACCCCCCCGAGTTCCTCCTTACCGGTACATTCTCTTTATTTACAAGTACTTCTTTCAATATGTAATTTCCTCTTTTATTTTTATCAATTTCTTGTTTTTTTTATTTTGAACGTTGACAATTATTTTCACAAATATATATCTATTTTGTTGAGATATATACTCAGTTGTTTTAGTGTGGAAGTGCTATTTTAGTTGGATGGCCAATTTTAACTTGATGGACATGTTTTAACATATAAAAATATTTTCTAAGCTTTTGCATAAGTGATCGTTCTTTTTCCATCAATAGGTTTAGATCGATGCATGTCCCCAAGAGATGGCGTATGTGCTATTTCTTTCTTTCAATGACACGGTTTCTACGAGTCTCTGGACTCATATGTAGAAATTTGGGCCCATTTATTTTTGAAATAAATTTTGACTTTGATTTTTAAGGAATATACAATCCGTAACATGAAAATCATTAATGTGTTAAAAAAAAATTAAAACTAAAAATGATATTTTGAGAAGGAAAAATTTGTGCCATTGAATTTACCTCGTTTTTGAGGGACCATCACTTACATCCATCTTTAGATGGATGGTTTATCCCCTGGGGAACGCAAATGTAGAAATGAGTCCCCGGCGCATAAACTACTTTTCCTTCTTTAAAAAGAAGGAAATATTTGATTTTAGATCGTAGCATGCTTATGGGAAAATTCTTTGTGAACTTCCTTTGTTCATGCCATTACTTGCTTATGTGATGATATTTGTATTAGAGTATGTGTTCATAATGATGTATATCAATATAGATATATAGATAGAGGCTTTTTGTATTAGAGTATATATTCATAATGATATATATCAATATAGATATACAGATAAAGGCTTCTTTGATTTGGCCTCTAAAGAAAGGGGCTTTGGTGCTTCACATTAAACAGACATCCAATGGGGGCCTAGCACTTTCCCTTGACTTATCCACTGTCAAGGTCTTGTTCCTTGCTGCTAACTATGCAAAAGCTTGACTGTTATGTGGAGTGGAGAAGGCTCCAAACCTTTGAAGTTGTATGAGCAGGCTGCATCATTCCATCAGAGTGTAGTCAAGTATACAATTAGGCCTGGACCATGCGACATTTTTTTGGTTGTGTTGTTTGTTTTTTGCTTTCTTGTATTGTATTTTCATTATCTTAATGAATCTCGCATTTCTCAAAAAATGGACTATGGGGCCCAGCCCGGTCGGCATTGCGATAAAAAAGTAGAGTTTGGGCCACAAATGGAGGCAGGAGGTCCAGGCTAAGGCTAGTGCCAGCCCGATTTGGCTTGGCCTGGTCCTCTTTATTTTTTTGTTTTTTATTTTATTTTATATATCGTCTGCCAACTAAGAAATTTTCACTCTTGATGGTAGTAGAATTGATGTAGGCTACTTTGTAGAGTAGTAAATTTCATGGGAATTTGGTCATTGATCCTGCGGTATTTGAATTTGAGGGACCACAAAGGTGTTATGGCCAGATCCATAAATAATTTCATTTATATCGCACTTGGTAGGCACTCTCTTTAATATTTTTGAGAACTACATATTTCAACCATTTGTGGCCGGTCCTCACACCTTTTCCCACCACTACATAGGTCAAGAGGATAATGGCCAGCAATTGTGTTATCTTTTTCAAAACCTTCAATAATGGCCAGCGAAGGTTTTGAAAAAGATGCACCATTGCTGGCCATTATCTTTTATTCGTCATACCACCTTGATCCATACCATATTTCTGTTTTTTATAAGCAAGCTTTCTATACTTCCTTTAATGTATAATAGTTATATACTTCCCCTAGCCATAGGATCTAAATGAACGGCTGAGATGGATCTAATTACAATGTCATGCCTCTACATCGTTTTATTTTTATTATTTTTCTACATAATATTTTGACATCAAATTTTGAGCGTCCACTCTTCTTTTAAACTTGCACCTTCAAAAAATATAAAAAAATATTCCCGATAAAATAAAATGACCAAAATACCTTTGAAACTTTCAAAGGTATTTTGATCATTTTATTTTATTAAAATACTTGTTTTAGGTGCATCCCATTGAGATGATCACACATACCAAATTTCATATTTATATAGTTTATAAAATAAAAACTAAAAATAAGATACTCTGATGCATCAGATCTAGATCAAATGGCCAATGGCTTATTTGATCAACATTGGACGGCTGGATGGGGTAAAGTATAGAACTTCTATACCGTAAGGAAAGTGTGTAAACCTTTTCCTTTTTAACAGCTCTTTCCACGTATGTTTGCCCTTACATTGAAGTGCCGGTACCACTTTATATGAGAAGCTTCACTCATGAACTTCAAACATCTAATGTGTAGCCCACTCAACCTCTATGGAGATCATACAACATCCCAATTCACTAGGTAGAATTTCCTTTTGTCTTCAGCCCCTCACCATAATATTTGCTTCATCAATGCCTCCTAATCATCTGAGAACTCCACCTAGGAAGTGGAACAGAGTAAAATACATGAGTATGTTGGATAGGGTGAATTTGATCAATGTTTCCCTACCTCCCTAAGAAATGTATCTAGTCTTCCAAAGATCAAGCTTCCTATGAAAAGTTTCAACACCGAATCCCATAATGGTATTGAAATTCTACCCGCTGTAAGAGGTGTTTACTTAGGAGGGAGACGACACCGCAACCAACCAATTATGGTAAACGGATAATCCCCTCTTCACGTGCAATTCATAGATTCTTCATTTAAAACACGAGTCATCACAAGATATCAACATATCATCAGCATACTGTATGTTGAGCACCTCCAGCACATTTCTTGTCACTTCAAGACTAATGAGAAGGCCTCTTGCATTAACAGCTCTAATCATTTGGCTGAAAGATTCAACTACTACAGTGAAGGCAATAGGGGATAAGGGATCTTCTTGCCAAATCCTTCTTGATGCTTAAAAGTCCAACTACCTAGAACTTAGAATAAACACACTTATGAACAGTGAGGACACTATCCAAGATTTGGGGTCTTTAGAGAAAGCCAACTAAGATGTTGAAATAATTGTTGAAGAATGATGTTTAGGCGTTAAGACAATACTTCTACTATCATTCTGTATAGGCTGGTGAGCAGGCTAATAAGCCTAACGTCATGCAATGATTCTATGGCATCCTTCTTTACCACTAGCATGATGAAGGTTAAATTCATGGCACTCTTAGATTCAAAACCCCTACGTGGCGAGGTGCCGAGGCCAAATTTGATTGAATCTAACATTGCTTGGTGCATGTGTAAGTATGAGTCCATGTCTGTGTGTGCGTGTGACATGCATGTAGACCGAATTCTCTACATGAAAGATACACTTGAAAATACATACAGCACAATCCTGGATGCCCCACCTAACCCTTGCTTTGAAGATAATCATGGCCCTTTTTCAATTAACTTTATTTTCTTTTTCTTTCTTGTACACAATTATCCAGGGAAAAATTTCCTCGTAAAAAGAAAGAAAGAAAAGAAAACACTCAGAAATGCACTCTGCGATGCCGAAGGCCCCATTGCTCCCATGGCCACAAGTATGCCATTTATGGGACATTTTCATATCCTTTTTCTCTCTTGTCCATATGGTCAGCTATCTAGGGTAAACTTCACTATAAGAAACTGTCGCAGATGAAGGATAGAGAGGGCGGGGAGGGCCATCAGTTGCGTCACTATATTCCATTGTCTTCTCGTCGATAAATGGGGGGCTAGTTGGCAATGCCAGATTTTGTTCTTTCTTTACAAGCAGTTGCAGGGCCTTCAACATGGATGGTCTCAATGTTGGAACTTCTTGTGTGCACAGAAGTGCAACATGAACCACCCTTAATATCTCTGCTTTCACATTTTCATTGTTATTGCTATAAATAATGGGGTCAATGAGTCCCTCAACTGTGTTCGATTGGAAGTGCTTCCATGCCTTTTCAAGAAAAGAAAAAAAAAGAAAAAAGGAAACAAATTCAAAGGTTTGCTGCAAATAATTTGAGGAACTACCTTCACATTATAGAGTAGAAAGAAGGAAAGTAAGTATACTATGAGAAGACAGAAGGGAAGAAGTGTGAAGTGAAAGAATGGCAGGGTAACTTTGAGATGGCATGTGAATGAGGGTTGAATAAATGTGGGAAGAGGAATACCGCTGTGAGTAAGCTGTCCATGTACTCCACGGATTTGCTCCTATTGTTCTGCTTTCCACTAACAATCTCAAGGAGGAGAACACCAAAACTATAAACATCTGCTTTTTCGGTTAGGTGACCATGGGCTATATACTCAGGGGCCATATATCCTCTGCAAAATAAAGATTTATATAAAATAAAATAGAAAATAAGTTAAATAACTTAAAAGAGGGAGATCTGTGCGTACGTGTGTGTATGTGTGTCCGTGAGAGAGAGCATTGATATGCATATTGTGTGCTTATATGTGAGAGAGTCGAGCAAATGTATATTGTGTGTGAACATCCAAGCCATAACTTCATTCAAGCATGCATGTAACACTTACAGTGTTCCAGCAATGGCTGTGCTAATGTGGCTTAAATTTTCTTGAAAGGACCTAGCCAGGCCAAAGTCTGCAATTTTCGGTCTGAGCCTTGAATCAAGCAAGATATTGCTAGCTTTGATGTCTCTATGAATTATTTTGATCTCACATTCCTCATGGAGATATGCCAATCCTTCTGCAGTTCCTGTGATTATTTCCATTCTTTTCTCCCAGTCCAACTCCTTTGCCACCTCAGGTTCTAATGTATAAAATAGGCAAGGTTTTATGGATCCACATAGTAAATTGTACACGCACACATGCATACAGAATTCATCAAATAATAACAAACGCAAAGGCTAATCCCACTGTTATAAAATGAATGAGAGAGAGAGAGATTAAAAAGTGGTAGAGCTATTTCAAGCATCATGAACGTTAACACTCTTAAAAGAAGAAAGGGGAAAATATGGTTCCATAGAAACATACCAAAGAGGAAGCGATCAAGGCTTCTGTTGGGAACAAATTCATAAACCAAAAGGCTCTCTGGTCCTGAGCAGCTACAACCCAGTAATTTGACCAAGTTCTTGTGCTGCACACTACTGATTATGTTAATTTCGTTGTAGAAATCAGCAGCACGATGCCTATTGTTGAAGAAGAGTCTTTTCACAGCCACTTCCCTTCCATCTCCCAACACCCCCTGAAAAATGACATATACTTGTTTAAATTGTAAGAACTCTGCCTTGGCCAGCCCCAAGCCCGTCATGTCAGTTTCAAGCCCGAGTAAAGGAGCAGGGTTGTGTTAGGTAGGGTAGCCAACATAAAACTTTGCTAAATCTTGTTATAAATCCTGGACCTATGAGCATAATAGTAGAACAAGATTCATGTAGCCGATTCTAATAATTGGGATAAGACTTAGGTGGCGATGATAATGATAATTACTTAAATATTGTTGGAAGACATTTATATGAGGTTGACACTTTAAAATGTAGAATTAAGGTGTACCTCTAAATCCTTCGAACAAGATTGTTCTAATGTTGGAAAAACATCTAGTTGCTTATCTTGACATCGAGATACATAAATTTGGAGAGAGAAAAGTAATTTCAAGTCTTAAAAATAGTACAACTTGCAATACAGTATCTAGACCGTCTATTTTCAAAATTTTCATTCGTTTATAGATTTGCTTGCTATAAACTATTTTTGAAGTTTGAAATTATATTATTAGAGATTATCGCACCATCCTAAAAAATTTCAACACCAAAATTGTATCTCATGACAAAGATAAGAAGTGCACCTTACTTTGATTGTTTAAGGCTGCAAGCTTATGCGGACTACACCGAATATTGTTTTATGTCATCTTTGTTAAAAGAAAGTTTAGACAAAGGAGGCCCTAATTACCTAAATATAGTGAATGGTCATCCTTCTCTTCTTTTTCAATACCCAAATGCACACCTAATAGCTATAACATTAGCTTTGGGTCCAAAAGTTCCTAAATATATCTATCTAGATGGAATTTGTTTGAACCCAAATTTTGTATGCGACATATATTCATCCCTATAAACAATCTAAAAAAACAAAATAAATCCAAAAAATGGTTTTCTTGAGAGAAAATGCAAAACACAAACCGTCCATTTAGAAAAGAGAAATGGTGATAGACGACATCTTTGGGAGATTTACTTGGACCCAAAGTTTGTAGATGTTCTCATCATCCCCAAATAACAATTTTTTTTTTCTTTTTTAAAAGTCAATAACAGGCTCTTAAAGGCTTATATGGTGACACTCGCTTAAGTTTTTCTACCCTAAAGAGATCTAGTGCTCTTTTTATTTATTTATTTAAGTAGTTCGAGATTGTTCACTAGCCTCAAGATAATGTATGTACAAAAGTTATGATTAAACTAAACCCTTGCAAGCACAAAAAATTCTTTTAAACAATTAAAAAAAATGTAATTTAAAAAATGAAAAGGAAAGTGCCATCTTTCTTTATTTAAATTTTAAAATAAATTAAATTTAAATTATCTTTCACATGCATGAAAACCTTATTTATTAGGACTTTGTAAGGAAGGTTTCCTTCTTTAACAGCAATTACGATTGTTAGTAGAGATAAACTTTTTTATACATGATGGACTTGGTTTAGGATAAGATATAATCTTCTTTATTTGCTTTTTTTTTTGTCACTTATGATTAAATAAATGAAAGCCGAAGGCTATGGTTGCATACACACATGTTAAGAAATTTATTGTGGGTACACACATACACAAGCACATACCTACACACATCAATTGTAATAGTATATTGTCGCTATATGCATAATCTTTATTGTAATGCTCCAAAATTTGTCCATCTAGATCGGGAAACTAGGTCTGGAACAAGAATTGATCTGATCGCTTTTGATGGACTCACTTGATTCTGTCAAAGAACTAGTCGAATCTACCAAGGACCAAGGAATCCAGATCGCGTGAATAATCCAGTTCTCATCTATTTTATATTTTTATTGTATTCACATTTTATTTTTTATAAATTATTTTATTTTATTTTTTTGGATCAAATCTATCACCGATTCGATATTTTTGGTTCACGGATCCAAACCAAATTTAAGAAAGGCGGATTGCTTGGCCGATCCAAAAACAGGGTTTTATTTTTGAAGGAACCCTAGGGAACCACCAAAATTTACTTTCTTCGAATCTTCAACATACGTGAAATGACCAATAAACCCTTTCCCCTTAACGAGGTAAGAATATTTACTAAATTCAGGACATGTTAGCATGGCCATAATTACCTTGTAAACTGATCCAAATCCTCCTTGTCCGAGCTTGTTGGCAGGGTCAAATGATCCTGTGGCCTTCTCCAATGTGGAGTACTTAAAATTCAAGCTACTATTGTACAGTGATGGTGTCAATTTTGTGCCATAATTAGAACCTGCAATTCCATTGAAGTATTGAGCAACCCTAATCTACAGTATATCAAGCAGGAGAGCCATCTTCCGATACCAAAATGAGCAAAATTAGGCGTGGAAATTGATTCGGGTCCGGGTCCAACTTTTGGATCCAGTGGGTCGGATTTGGGTTTAAAACCTTGGAGCCGAGTTGGATTTGGGTCCAAATATATATATATATATATATATATATATATATATAGTAA